GGAAATGAGCAGGATTAAGTAAAAGACCAGCATAAAGGGTAAAAGGAAGGAATCAAGACATAATGAATAGAAAGTCTCATTTCCCTAATCATATACTGCTTCTTTAAAAGAGTGCTCTGCAATTTTTTTTCCAATGCATTTCTAGTCCCTGGCGCTTGCTTTATTTTTCTAATGTTTTTCTATAAATTCATTTTAAATACCTGCTTTTTTCAAGGGGTTCTTGGAAAGGTTAGGATGTGTCATGTCTCATGTGAAGTGTTGCTATTTGAGATGCAAAAGAGGTAAAGCAAAGAAATGTGACATTCTAGCACCATCTCAACTAACATCCATCTGTCTCGCTTGCAGATCCAGCAAGTGTTTTCCACAGGTATTTAACTAGCACTTTGCCCTCTCTTTGCCCTTAAGCTATTTAGTAGGTGTTTTTGGCGTTGCAGGCTAACCTGGAAGTAGCATGATAAGAGGTGCGGATCTGCTGTAATGATTCAGCAATGAGGTTTAATGGGGCTGAAAACACGGGCTGACTGGCTGGCAGGCAGGCTACACAGTCAGGGAGAGAGACACAGTGGGTGTGGAGCTGTTTCCAGCTAAAGACAGATGTTACAGAGAGACAAAAAGATGGAGAGAGAGAGAGAGAGGGGGACAGCAAAAGAGAGAGAGAGGTGAGTCATTTGCAACATGCAGAGTGAGAGATCACTACAAAGTAACTTTGTGCAAAAGGAAACTTTGAGCAAAGTCAAGCAGAGTTCATTCACATGTGGGTGCTCCACAGCACTTAAAGCTTCATATTGCAGGAATACATTGGCAAAGAAATTGTTTTACGACCAAATATATGTGGAGATTTTGTTATTGAAGTGTAATGGGATTTCCCTGGTTTGAGACAAATACAGCTAAGAATTTACAGACAGCCACAGATGTTAGAATTAGAAACTGTAGGGGCTTAGGAGATATTACAATAACGGAATTGGTGTGTGAAACAAAACAGCCGACCTTCTTTTTTTCTAGAATTTGGGAAAACCACTATGACATTGTGTTTAAGACTTATTGTCTTTGAATGTAATTAGCTTGTTACCATCCTGACCTCAGCGGTAGGAAATTTCCTGTTTTATCCATTTACTGTCTTTATGGCAGGGAAACAGGGAGAACATGCAGGATTCTGTCGCTGTTGCCTACATCCATGGCCAAGGAAATTCTGCTACGCACACAGAGTAACAGTTGACTGAAAATGGAAATCTTTTCGTCAAATTGAGCTTTTGTTTTTTTTTAACGAGGAAAATGTCCACATATAGAGTAAGAGTTAAAAGCACAGTGGAGCATAGCCTCAGGTTTGCTCTGGAGCTAATTTGTTTGAATGACAGGAACTCAGAGACTTTAAAGACTAGCAATGGATGTGTTCAGTAGATTTGGTGCTTTATACACTGAATTAACTTGTAACTTGGATTTGTAATGGTGCCTTTGGCCTTATTAGCTTTGGACAACTGAATGTTCCCATAGGAATTCACCATTTTGCCTTAAAGACAGTTCTCCTTTTTACTGCACCGGCAGAAGCTGGGTGTGTAAATTCTTTGTTAACCAAGGGGTTGTTTCCCATTATTTCTTAATGTGCAAAGCTCAGTACCACTGAATATAGACACTGTGCTGCAGTTTGTCACTGGGTATAAACATGATCTCATAAGGCAATGTTTGAGCCTCTGCAAACCTGAACACATCTCGTTTTTATAAACATGAAGCTCACAGTAAAGTCAGATATCTCTGGATGTGATCAGTGGAGCAAATAAACATGCAGTTTGCATGTGAATAATTGCCCCATCAACCCAGTTTTCAAGATATCAGGTCATATTACATTTGTATGTCACTACAGTAACTGCCTTTCCTAATTACATTTTCTATACATGTGCAGATACAACTCTATGAATCATACATCAAGCTTTAAAAGGTCAAACTGCGACGACACAGCCAGTGTTCCATAGCGGCCTCATGTCTGTCTGTCTCCTTTCCATTTGTCTGTTTAGCCCTGCCTGTTTAAGTGTTTACTTTGCCTATTTATGTGGCAGTCAAAAACTAGCTCACTAACACCGATATGAAGATCTTTTTACAACGTTCATCCATCCATCCATCCATCCATCCATCCATCCATCCATACCCTGTTTTTTCTCTGTTTGATTACCATTTGAACATCTCTGAATCTGCAATAACAAACATATAAAATGTAATGAACGCAGTAGTTTGATGAACACTCAAATCATATTTTCTCATCGTAATCATTCCTCTTGTTTATAGTGTTTAAAAGAAGAGGTCTCTTCCCAATGGGCTGGCCATGCAAGTGGTGAGGGACAGACTTGAAAGCGTTGAATCTGCATAAATGTAGGATATGTAAATGTTCATGAAACTAGAGTCGGGAAAGAGGGAGGATTTATTTCCTCAACATTAGCCACCACTGTTTTTTCTACGTAGACCTTAACAACTGTAATGTCATCCAATGATATATTGAGTTCAGAATTTGTCCCATTGCCATTAGTTTATTGGGACCACAGGTGACCTTTTTTAGAGCGAATGTTGGAGATGCAACATCCCTATCCAGGTTGACAGGTGGTATCCACTTGTTGATCACAGTCATGCCCTAAAGCACTGCTTTGTCTCTGTTTCACTGTCATTGGACCTATCTTGTGAACAACACGCTCTAAGTCCAGCGGAAAAGAGAAGTACTTTTCTCTTTAGTTTGCCTACTTTTTTCAATTGGCGCCCCCTGCTGGACTTTAAAAACAGTCCAGGTTAAAGACACTTTTGCATTAGCTTCACTTTTGAAACTCGAAGGCTACGTTCACTTCTTTCATACAGTCTTTGAAGAGGAGAACTGAACCAATGTTCAAGTGGACACCTGGCTGTTGTTTGAAGACGGGCTTTAAAAATGGTGAAGTTAAAAGCAAAGTTTTAATAGTTGTGTTGAAAAGCAGTTCAGTAAAATGTAGAAGGGTTTGATGATGATCTCAGTGATCTCACTCTGTAAGAAAGATGACTCTAAGATCAATGACAGGCTGCACAGCTGTTACACATGACTCTACGCCTTTGATGTTGCTGCTTTCGCCTGTCACTACTTGCACCAACACAGACAAACACACACACACATACACACACACAGAAACACACATCTCCCACACTCACACACAGGCACGCACATTTTGGAAGATTACATTAAAAGCCAGTTGCTGTCTGTGGGAAGACAACTGTGCCACTCTGTGTGTTGGACTGTGCCAAAGGAAAATCCCTGCTGACGAGGAGAGATATTCAGACGGAGAAAAAGTGAAAATATTTCACTCTTCTTCAGTGGAGCTGCTCTGCTTATTCTGAGTCACTGATTACATAGATGGCTTTGGTCACAGTCGGCCAGAAGTGGAACTCCCACTCTGGAAATCAAACAGCTCTGCAGCATGCAAAGGAAAATCCTCCATGGAGAAGGGAAATATTTATGCTCAAAATGAGCCACATAGGGTGGCGGTTTTGTCACACTTTCACACAAGTATTCACAAAGTGAAACACACACACACACACACATAGTCAGAGAAATGAGTATTGTTGTTTGCCATAGCACTTAAATTGAGCTTAAAATGTTAGATTCTTACCATGCAGCGTGAATCATATAGCACAGCATACGCTATACGTTAGTGTTTGTTTCATTTTCTCTGACAATAATGTGTGATCAGTGTGTCATTCCAGATCTGCACTGGATTCACCGTCAATGACTTATATTTGTGTTGCTGAGGGTTAGAGCACATGAGACAAACTGAATGTGAGATGGCGCACAACATTTCAACATGAATAGCTTTTTTATAGACTTTATGTAAAAATCGAGATTCTTATCTACTGAGATTTTAAATAGATTCATAACTTTTTTTGGAGGCTAATCAATCACTCCCTGCTTAGTGCTAAGGCTAGCTCTTTTACTCAGTCGAATGCCAAATGGAGCAGCAAGAATTTCAGCAAATATCACAGATAGCTAGAGTAGATCCTGAAGTAGCCTTTGTACTAATTCAAAAATAGACTTTGACTCACGAATCCAGAATCGAAACCAAATCGTGAGACACCTACATTTTGAGTGCCTAAAAAAATATTTTTGATGACTATATGTATCCAAATACTTATGAAATCATATCTTGAAATAATGTATTTTTCTGTCTGTCTGTCTGTCTCGGTACCAAAATGTAGCCGTCTTTATCAAACCCCTCTCCTGCATCCATCTTCAGTGCTTTACTCGCTCACATATACACACAACAGACAAATTCACACAGGCTTTGGTCTGCTTAACAGAGTGCTGCTAAACAGAACAAAAATAATTGAATTAAACTAGCCCAACTAACTGAGAGGCCCATAAAAAGGAAGCTCCCACTTTGACTCAAAATCATTTTTTGAAAGTAACTCAGTGAATGTCTATGAATCCTGAGGGGGTTTTTCCTTATAGCTTCAGGGGAACTGAGCGTGAAGCTGATGCTCTGCCCTTTCAATGAAATGTTTATTCCTCTTTTGAGAAGAGTTTTGCCACTTGAGATACATTCACAGACATTTTCTGTGGAATATTCACTCATAAATATGGAAAGAAAAACACTTGAATGCTACCGCCTTAACCTCTAATGCATTCAATGCCTCAAAACCAGCTTTTAGTGGGAGTTAAAGTTAGCGTTTTAGACACTTAGAAGTCAAGCAAAAACATTTCTGCAAAGCATTCTCTGTTAATCCCCAGTCCTTTCTGTGCACATAAACTGCTGATCTATCAGAGAGGAGGTGTATGACATTTAATATTTAAGAATATTTCCATGTTCTTGTTGAAGGAAAACATGCTCTGTGAGAAAAAGGTCCAAAGATTGTGTCAAGGTTTCAGAAGGCATCTTTGATCGTTGCTCAGTTATCTAAAACATGACAAAAATATGAAACTTCAAAAATAATGCAAAATAAGATCATATTTTTATAATCTTTTTTTTTTTATATATACTTTCTGTCTCTCCCAACAGCAACAGGAGCAGGACCCTACCAACCTCTACATCTCCAACCTGCCCCTGTCCATGGATGAGCAGGAGCTGGAGAACATGCTGAAACCCTTTGGTCACGTTATTTCCACACGGATACTGAGGGACGCCAACGGCCTGAGCAGAGGAGTAGGCTTTGCAAGGTACGCATGGGGAGAGACAAACACATGCACACAAACTGTCACCTACACTAGTGGAGCTCTACAAATTTTGTATAAGCAGCTTAATATGTGAAAAACTCAGGTTACGTCTCCCACTGTCAGCCAGGCTGACACTGGTTATTGGGCATCTGATGCATGTGCCAGGTGGACTGGTTTACCTCAAGAGGGACTTCCTTTGTTTAATCTTATTTGAGCAGCAAGTCCCATTGAGATTAAAAATGTCTTTTTACAAGACAGACCTGGCCTAGGTAAGAGTCAAACAAATCACAAACACATTAAATACAACATATGCAACACAAAATCACAACAATAAAAATTCACCGTAGCTTCTTAAAAATAACCTTGTGCCTCTGTCACCACATTCGTTATGATACTCTTACATTTGTGAAGTAATATCCTATATGTGTGTCTAATTTTGGCTCTTTTTCAAGATTAATCCATGCCCAAGGTTCATTAAACGAAAAGGCAGATTTGTCAAAACTCAGGGTATAGTGAAGAACAATCAATTAGAGGATCACAACCAATTAGAAGACTGCAACTGCTACCAAATAAATCTGAAACCTCTTATCTGATTTCTGATTCTGTCCTGTACGCGTGTCAGTAGTTAAAAACTCATCCTGCTTTCTTTAACAGTCAAATGTATCACTCACCAAGAAGTGTTTGCTGTTAAAAACATCAGATCACTTTATCCTACAGATACCTCCCCAGGCTGTGTTTTTTAGCTTTAAAAAAAAAAAAAGGTGTAAAACTAGTCTGTATTTAAGCTGATTGTGTTGTTTACTTAAATGTCGGTATGTTTCATAACCACTTAAAAACTCCTTATTGATGCCCAGTGGCATCTTCAAAATGAAAAAGAGGTGTAAGAGTGAACAGATGACCAGCAGCACACTGATTCAGGCATGTCCATTTAAAAATGTCACGGCTGAATTTTTGTTTCTAGTCCTATCCTGCTGAAAGCCATGATATTTATTGGAAATGCATTAAATAGTAAGTCAATGTTTTAATGACTTATCAGAATCATAATTATTGCAATATGTTTTTTAATAACAGGAAACATCATCTCTCTGGGTTGACTCCCTGCTATTAATCACTAACTCTACATTCCTGTACCCTTGGCCCCATCACCTTCCTGTGTGTGTTGGTGTGCTTTTTGTGTGTGTGTGTGTGTGTGTGTGTGTGTGTGTGTGTGTGTGTGTGTGTGTGTGTGTGTAGGTGTGTGTAGGTGTGTGTGTGTGTGTGTGGTCTTCTCAGTTACACCGTGGAGTGTGCCAGTGATTAGAATGCAGTCAAGGCTCCATTCAGGGTCACTTGCTATGTGAAGAAAACCCAAGACACACACAGAGACATGCATGCTCACGTACTACATGCACACACAGTCTTTTTCTCTTTATTCTGTCACTGTTTTTCTTACCCACACACACACACACACACACACACACACACACACACTGGCATTCTGGCTTTTGCTTGCCAAGCAGGCAATTAGTCATTGAGCTGTGATTGGGTGAGTGGAGCTGAATAGGGGCAGACAAAGAGGACATGACACACAACAGATCAGACTGAATGGAGCTTTTACACTGGGACAAGGGAGAGGAAACCCCGTAGACAACACACACACACACACACACACACACACACACACACACACACACACACACAAACAGACCCACATGCACACATACATATTCTGAAGGCGTTTTGCTCAGAGATGCAAAGACTAGCAAGGACAGCTACATATAGATGCAGGTATTAAATGCACCTGCAGTAATGTAGGACACATTTGCATGCACACATTTCTGCATACATTGGCACACTTTAACAGAACGAAGGTACCTATTGTGTTTCAGATAATAACAGAAGAATCCGGTTATCCTCGAATAACACCTCTTTCCTTCTCTCTCTCTTTCAGGATGGAGTCGACGGAAAAGTGCGATGTCGTGATCCAAAATTTCAACGGAAAATTCTTGAAAACCCCTCCCGGCATGACAGGTAGGTGTCCATCAGTAAGAAAATAGCATTGCACCGGATACACCGGCACTGTTTCTCTATAGGTCAGGGTGCTCATGGAGATGCATCATGCACTCAACCTTCCTACACGCAAAGGTTGCTGCACTCAAAGGTCACATTATTTTGAAATGAACTCAGTTTCCTGCCAACCTTTAAAATGCCTTCCACTAAGTTCCAGGTGTTTGTGTGTTTAATGTAAGTCATCTTCTCTGTCTTATTGGTGAGAATGCAGCACTCTTGTCATTTACTATCTGTGAACAGCATTGTGGAGTTATGTCTTATATTTAATGACAAGGTGGGCATCTTGCACGAGTGGGGCCGTAAATTATTTCAATTTCAATGCAAGAGTCCATTACGAGAGTTTAAATAACTTTACAAAAATGATGCTCATTTCATTGACTTTGTATGAGGAAGCATATATTTGATGGTTGAATGCCATTCTTTGATACTTGGCATCGTAAGTACAAATCTCTGAACCTATTGGCTTTTGTCTCAAGATGATTTATGTCTCTGGGAGCGATGACCAATTTTTCTCTGATCTGTGGAGCCAGCGGTTTGTGATAAAGGACTTTTAGCCAAGATTTCCTTTTCTGTGGGAGTCAATGTGTACAGGCTGACCAGTAACTTGAGAAGCAAGAAAGGAGTAAGTGTTGAGAGACAACGTCTTTGTGCTGATATTCAGCTACACTTACTTACAGATATCTGTTAAAAGGCATGAATAAAAGAGCTAATTCATCATAATCATCATGATTGCTGATGGGTTCCAACATAGAGCATTGAGGCAGATTGCGTTTCGCTCCTTTTGATCTTCACACCTTTTTTTTGCTCATACAACCAATGTCAACTGAAACAAAACTGGATGATTACACTTGGGGCCACTGTGGCTCAGAGGTTGGTCAACTCTTGAAATTGGTGGTTTGATCCAGCTCCTGCAGTCCATATGTCAAAGTGTCCTAAGGCAAAACAGTGAACCCCAGATTGCTACAGAGTGGCTATGTCAGTGGGGTGTGAATGGGATTAGTTTGATGGGCACTTTACATAACATCCTCAGAAACAGTGTGTGAATTTCTGTGTGAATGGGTCAATGTGACATGTAGTATAAAAGCGCTCTGAATTAGAAGAAGACTAGAAAAGCACAATATACAGTCCATTTACATTTTACTTTGAAAACCAGCACGGAGCCTCGATTTAAAAATTCTGAGGTTTCATGCAGAATCTTTAAGTGGAATAGTATTTAACAATTTTATTATTAGCTATCCATCGTGGTACCGCTTCACAAAGTTAATCCACCTGTTCTTCATCTCTTCATCTTTGGGAATTTGAACAAACAGACCGAGCTGTTCTGGCATCCAGGGAAGAAACACTTGCTGCCGAGGGCATAGCTAGCTAGAAGATGCTACAGCGCTCAGTGTTTTTATATCGCTTAGCATGGAACGTTGAGATGAAGGGCCCATCTACGTAATTACGACCCGATTTAGCTCCGCCCATTAAAACCTAGAAACTCAAGAAACTTGAGAAAACCGTAATAACGGTAAAAAATCGGAAATCAGTCAAACATAGTTCTCAGTCTTTTCACATGTTTAAAGCTATCCTCTTGCAACATATTTAGTGTGCTTGTAGACATATTGCTGATTTTACTTTACCGGGACTTTAAGGTCCAATATCCAGTACAAAACAGTAATACATTTCATTTCTCACTCACAGAAAATTATAGGTTATCTTTTGCCTCTCAAAGCAAAACATTATCTCATAAACTGTTTAATGCCTTGGTTTCAGACACGCAGACAAATATGAATCTGGTTGCTTAACATAGGCACATGTGGGGATGTTCCTCTTTATTTATAGCAAAAAGAACAACATTTATTTACACTATCCAACTATCAATGTATTTGATTTATCAGCTGTAGTCACGTAGAAGGACATATCTGTATTCTGTTACAACATCTGTGTGTGTACAAAACATTGTCCATGTGACTGATAATATATCAACATCATCTCTGCTGCCCAGCTCCTTAGACCACCTTGAGTTGATTAGTGGGAAGATGTGACTGATTAAATCCTAAACTGCACAGGACACAAATTGAGACACACACACACATGCACAATGTACACACACACACACACACACACACACACACACACACACACACACACACACACACACACACACACACACACACACACATACTCACACACATGCAGACATCCCCCAGAGCAAACAATCTGTCCCCCAAATTAACAGCACAGACTTGTTGCCTTTATACACAGAGGGGTAGAGAAGAGGGGGCGTAAGGAAAGGGAGGATGAAAGGATGGGAGCACAGAGGAGGAGGAGAAGCAGTGAGGATGAGGTTCAGGATGTCTCTCGTTTTGAAGAAAAGATGAGGAGTGTGTGGGTGTGTGTGAGAGAGAGAGTGACATATACAGAGAGAGGAGAGAGCACAGTGAGGTTACTGAACATGAGTGGATAACAGAACGAGGACAAGGTGAGAGTAAAGAGGAGGCTGAAGTGAGGAGAAACAAACTGAAAAAGACAGAGTGAGAGATAAGAGATAGAAGTACTAAACAATCAGATAAAGGGAAAACAAGGACAGACGCTCCAGCTGTATGACTCGTCAGGTACAGCACCATCGGCTGCTAATTTTCAAGCCAACACACACACACACACACACACACACACACACACACACACACACACACACACGCTCTTATGCCTCTCTGTGTAACATATAGCTGTGTTATTTTGTAGCACCTGAGTGATGCATCATTGCTGCTGCTGCCGGCAGCTTGTGTATGTTAGAAACACACTTAACTGTTCCTAAAAAAAAGAAAAAGACATTACTAGTGGCACTATTAAATTAAAGAGGTTTAAACTTCAACACGCAAACAAACTCGCTAACTCGCTGACCTCTTTATTACTCGTCTTTGTAAGGGGAGTCCATATTCTTCCCTCTCCAGTGTGAGTGTGTGTGTGTGTGTGTGTGTGTGTGTGTGTGTGTGTGTGTGTGTGGCTGTGTGTGTGGCTGTGTGTGTGTGTGTGTGTGTGTGTGTGTGTGTGTGTGTGTGTGTGTGTATCTGGTTTGTGTGTATGTTAACTTAATTTGCTCTGAGCCACAAACCGGTAAAACTGTGAGAATCTGGCCAACCAGATCCATTGTGTACTGATCCACAAAACACACACACACACACACACACACACACACAGCCACACTGTTGTTACTGATCTGATACACACTGAGAGAAAGCGTGCCAGGTTGTGCTGATTTATGTCAGTGCTTTTCTGTGTCACTGACAGTCTTTGGCATTTCAAAGCTTACATCGCAGCAGGCCTTTGTGTTTTGTTTCTTCTCTTTGTTGTCTTAAAAAAATCCTCAATATACCTAAAGGTTAAACTTGCTCTGCTGTTACAGTGCAATGTAAAGTATGTGTGCATGGCATGAGGGATGTGTGTTCCTCTGATTAATCCCACAGTCTGTCTGTGCAGCCTGATGTATTGACAGGCAGCAGTAATATTTTATTTTCAAGCAGCCAAATGAATGCCAACATTGATCACAAGACCAGAGCTTCCCTCAGCCCTTGTTAACAGGAAGTCCATTGATCCACAGCTTCCTGACTCCTCAGGTCATAGAGATAGAGAATCTAGAGCTGACATAGACTTATATGTCTCTGCCCCATCCTTTAATTTATACAGAAAGTGCTGTAGTTTAGTCAACCCAAGACAGTATACCCCTTTTGTTAGTCTTATATTTAAAAAATAATTAAATATTAAAACAGTCACTTAATTTATCCAGCTGTATTCTTTTTTTCATAATAATTAAATGTATTATGAATAAATGTATTTGTGTGTGTTATAACTTTAGGTCAATAGAAATTAGACATTCAATGTGAAGTAAATCAGCTAAATGACAGTCTGTGAATTCACTATTCCATGTTATTAGGTTTCCCTGTGCTTTATGTCTGATTATTTCCTGCACCCCTACTGTGGATGGGGGTGTAAGCACCAGCAGGAATGTGGGATTAGGGGTGCTGAGGGTGCTCTAGCACCCCCTAAAATTAGGCATTATTAAAGTCATCACCCATAAAAGCGTTTAAAGTGACGTTTAAATCCTTCTAGGAATTGTTGTGTCTTTATGGATTTTGGACATCAGCAAAGTCTTCAAGTGTTTGTTCATGATAACTGCAATAATACACACAAGTACACACAAAGATGTATGTATTTCTTATCATTTCTCCTTTCCTTTTATTTTTATTTTATGTTCAAATCATGTTGCTCAAATTCTCATTGGTACTCAAGCAGCCATCCAAAGGCTTTGTACTTTAACCCAACTCAAGTTCATATGACCTGTTCTTCTTTATAAATAAGTAAACAATCAGTAACAAGATGCAGGCTTCCAGTAAAATGTAAATTTACCTTAATCTTTTTTACTCATTCTCTCCTTTTGTAGATCAACCTTTTGTCTTTTTTCTCCTTTTTTAAATTTATTTGTCTCCTTCCAGTTATCCTTCCAGCATCTTATCTTTTTCCATTCCTCTTTTTCAGTTTTTCTCCAATTCTTCTTTTTTTCTCTGTCCCACTATCAGATGTTGCAGGTTTGATAGTTCTTTGCCGTGCCTTCCCCTTAGGTTGAGACAAACACACAAAGGAAAAGAATGAAAAGACTCCAGATCTCAGGCCAGTTCTCTTAATCAGTCAGTGGTTTCAATACTAATCAGGATGCTTTTAAAAATGTGTGCAGTCTTCAATATCTGGTACAATCATGAGGCATTTATACTACATTCATCCAGGAAGTGGTTTGATACTGGAAGTGGTTCTATACTGTACTTTCATAAATGAAAAATTAATTTTATTAGATTTTTCTGATAATGGAGGAAAACATTGAAAGAGGCTTCTCTGAGAAAAATATGGGTTAATTATGAGGCAGAGCTGATCTGTCAGACTTGGTGTCAGCTTACATGTGATATTTGGAGCTAATTATTTTGCAC